GAACTAAAGTGCAAAAGAAAGAAAGAAACTGTGTTTGGAGATAGGTCTGCTACAGTATAAACTTTTCCCTTTCTCTGCTTACTGCTACAGCAAAATCTGATGGTTGTCTTTGCAAAAAGCGTGTCTGTATCCAGGTCCCTGGCAGTGATTTGCCTCTGGGAGGGCCAGCAATCTATTTAATGACTCCATTGACGTCAATAGCATAACTGAAATACTTACTAACATGCATGATTCCAACTTTCAGGGGGGGTGGGTGGATGGTGTTTCTCAGCAGTACGAAAACACGAAGTGGAGTCCACCCGGATCGAACTCAGCTCTTTAGACAGCTAGTGAGATATTAGATGCTGCTGGTCTCATCAGTTCCATTAAATAGGAAGAAATATTTATGCTAAGTTTAGAAATTAATTTTGAACTAGCGAAACAGCCAAAATAAGTGAGGTGTTATTTTTGGCAATGTTTGCTTACGGGTAATATTTTAACTATTTGCACTTTGGCTGGCTTGTTAATGTTTTTGTGACTGCCCATACTTAATTTTAGATCGGTATGAAATAATTGCAAATCAATATAAACAGCCCAATGTTGACGCTCTGGGGTAAACTTTCACAAGACGCTGGCTATTTTAGACAAAAGCAATTCTTACAAAACTGCCATCTGGGGAATTATTCTCAAAAGTACTGGGACTTTTCTGGTTCATTTGCCCAATGGTTTTGTATGCAGGCTGTCTAAACACTCAGAATGAGCAATTAAGGCAATTATCCTAAAAATTCAGGCCACACGGCATCCAGAATACTGAAGAAAGCGTGGTCTGATATTCTTAACTTTTTCTTCCTCTTTTTTTCATTTCCTTTCTTTCTTTTGTTCCTTGCAATTTCCTCCGATCCTCCTGTATCGTGAGTGGTCGCAGCCTTTGGTCACAAGATTGATTGTATTCCTGTTTGTCTGTAAGTGTTGTAATCCTGCTTGACGGTTCTTGCTTAATGTAGAAACCAAGCAGAGGCTCTGCTTATGCCGGGCTCTGTTTCCAGTCATCTGACACAGAGCAGTGCTCAGAACAAAGCTGTGGTTCTCAGAGAGCCCTCTAACCGGCACACTGAGGCCCTCTCTCCTCCCAGGACCAAGGAGCCCTGACAGAGAATGAGAGCTGAACCCGTGTCATGACTTTCTGAATTCCACAAAATCAAAGATAACTCCCTGACTCACTTGTCCACCACTTGAACAGATGCTGGTGCACCCCCATGAACCTCCAGGAGGACAGTCTTAACCAAGTAAACACAGAGGAGGAACCCAGTCGAGAAACAGTCTCTTAGGAGAAAATCTTTTCTTCTGCTTCATCGACTGGTAAAAGCGTTTCTTCCCCAGAATAGCCTGGATACGTATGGAAAGAAATGAATTCCCCTGAGCACTGGGAAAACCTTAATTAAGTGCTTCTCACATAGGCCAATCTACTTCAGACTTTACTGGAAAGCCCTGTGCTGCCTCATCCTGTTTCTTTGAACACAGTCTTTTCTTGAGATGTGTCCTAATTCATTGGTGTTGAAAATCACCATAAGCCAAGGTAGTGGACACCCAGGCGGCTCTCCTATCATCTTGGAGACCTGGTGTACTGTCATTCTGATCTGTTACCAGTAGGGACGCTTTTGCTCAATATGCTTATTGGTAAATTTTAGAACAAGGATATTGCATAGAGCACCCAATCGTACATACCAATTTGGTCACTAAAATATTATATACATGACACATATTATTATTCATCAAGTCACATTTATATGACTCAGAAGTGGTAGCCTTTAAAAGGCATCCTTTTGTAAGACAAAGATTCGTGTGCATGCATGGACCCCAATTTTCCTCAATTATTTGATTTTTTTCTGTTGAAAATAGTTTGGGGGTCTGGAGTCCTGAGAATAGCTTCAGTTTTCCAATTGAATGTGTACAGGTGACAGAATTCAGGTTCCTGCCTTGTTTTGGAGTTTTCTTTCTTTTTCTAGTCTATTTTTTGCCTTTCTGTTTCCACCCTTGAGCACCACACAGAGAAAGCCTGGAATTCATGCTCGTGAAAAAGCAAAATGTGACACAAATTGAGATGCCCATTAAATTCTGTAGCACTGGCATTTTCTACACCCCAGGAGGATTTACTGCATCTTTCTCCTCAGCCTGGCAGCCTGTGGCTTCTAGCATGTTCTTTCTGGGCTTGACACTGCCCACTGCTTTACTTTGTCTTTCCTATTCAACAAACAACATGGCAGCTTCTTAGATTTTACTCTCTCTGTTCAGAACCTATATGAGCACACCCCTATAAGCAGTTATGGCATGTGTCCCAACATCTAACAATTCCAATGCAATAACAGATTTTTTTTAAAAAGTAAAAAAACACAACTTGTATATTTTTATAGCAATGGAGAAAAAATATTGGCTCACTATTAAGTATTAATTTTATGAATATCTTCTTTCAGATACAGTCCCCAAATTTTATGTAGTTATCCTGGTCAATTTGATGCTTACTATGTTCTTATTAGGTAAAAATAATTATACTATGGCACCATGAACGATAGTCACAAATAAGGTGTGACCCTCGTCTTGAGAAGTTTCAACTCCAATGGAAGAGACATTCTAACCAAGAGTTAAAGTGTACTCAAGAATTAAATTGTTGCCATAGCACAAAAAGAAGCAATTATGCCCATTAAAAAAAAATCCAAGGTGTCTCTGCAGAGGAAGGAAATGTGTGTTGAGCCTCAAGGTATGAGCACACCTTGGTTCAACAGTGAGAAGAGAGGAATTTCAGTCGGAGATTTCCTTTGACTTCCCCATTGAATATTTCATTTAACCATCAATTTGTAAATGTACCAATTTAACCATGCTTTCTGACAACTGGTTTTTAAAATAAATTGCATTTTCCTCATTTATATGTTAAAAAAAGAAGCCTTTTAAGATTTGGCTTCCTCCCCCACCCCATCTCAAACTTGCTTCTGTACGAGAATAGCATTGTCTAAGTCAGGCTTTTTAAACAAAACTGGGTTGTTGCTAAATCTGTTTAAATTATTGTGAATTTCTTGTACTGTTTATGTTTGATTTCAGTTGAAATACAACTAATGAAAGCCCAGTCTTACTATTGTGAAAATCATATTTTCAAACAGCACTCCAGTTCTCAATTCTGTTTGCTCCGAGCTACTCGGTTTTCATTCCCCTTTAAAATTTCTATCTAAAACACACCTCTTTGTCATGTGCTGATAAATATTAAAATAACAGGAAAAATCTGCCTGACTTATTTCAGCTGATAATAAGAACAAAACACGGGATGAGTGTCTCCTCCTTCCTTTTCTAACCATAGTTAAACGTTAAGGACATGTTGAAACCTATAATTGCATAATAATTGGTATTACTACATTCTCTTCCCAATAAAAAGCCAGGATTTTTGTAGTTTGTCACAAAGACAGACAAAAACAAATTGCCTCAGTGGCATTGTCATTTCTTTGCTCCATTGTTTTAAAAGAATTTATCAAAAGGATCTCTAGTTGCCAAGCTGTAGTATCTGTGCCAATAATCACAAAATGATCTTTCCAATTGCATCAGTGGCTGGTGAGCAAATTTATAGAACCATAACATCACAAGTCCTCCTAATGTTTGTCAGTATTTGTTACAAGAAAAATAAAACATAATCTGAATATTCAAATTGATGTCAAATGCATTTTAGTAAATTTGGCTAACGGAAATTGAACCATATTGCCTGAATGGTAGACTGCCTCAATGGTAGGCCAGTAAGAAGAAATGCTACGTGTTTCAAAACGACCTGCTTTGATCTCCAAGTATGTAACAACAGTTAAATGTGAAAAACACTCTATTTTGTTTCCTTATAAAACTTCTAAAGAAAATGGTACTTGTGACACACAAGGTTTTAAAGTCCATAGTCCTACTTTCTTCTTCGTGTTTCATGTCCTAGGACTCTAGAGTAAACTCACCCTTTACTTAACATCTTTTGTTCAATTTTACTCTTGTTCTCAATCTTTCTCTTATAAAAATATCTTTGAAGACATGTACCGTAAATACTTCAGAGGCCAGGGAGCCCATACAATCTATTGCCTTTGCTCCCTCCTTTTAGAAGTTGGGGTTTCATAATACTTCATTATACTTATGGCCGTGATACAGGCCAGAGAACACAACAGCCAGGTAGGGTAGATGATAAGTATGAAACACGACAGGAAACAGAAAAGTGTAGAGGCAATGTTGGGTGTTAGGTGAGCTCAGTATGAATACATCTTAATCATTCTCCTGTGGTTTTACTCAAGCCCACTGCTATAATAGTGAGGAACAGATTTTGGGTGGGGGGACTCCATTTGAACTTTTAAAGGTGTCATCTAACTGGCTGCATTTGATGACCGAAGAACTTCTGTTTAACACATCTCCGTGGTGTTCCTTCGGATGGCCCTTCCTCTCTGCAGCTCTCAAGGCTACCTGAAAGGCAGATGCACTGGACTGAAAGACGAGAGGTCAGGTTCTTTAAAAAACAAAAAACCTTTGAGGAACAAAGTTGGATGACCTCCAAGAGAAATGATTCGTGACCTGGCAAGAGCCTTTGGTTTCACGCCTGGCAAGGATGCAGCTTCCAGTGGGATGCAGAGTTGACGCGAAAAGGAAACCACGAACATGCCCTCCGGGACCCTCCCGCCCCCAGGGAGCACCCCAGGCCTTGGCGGTTCTCTGGGAGTTCACTGGGGCCAGCAAGAGGAGGTCGGGTTGTATTATCAATACAGCTCTGCCTCCCGCTCCTTTTCTGGGAAGTGGCGTTACCACACCTTGATCACCTTCTGAAAACCTGGCCATACAATGGGCACATTACTTAATACTGCTTTTAATTGAGTTTCACATAGAGTTGGGAAAAAAGTCACCAAGAGACACATTTGAGGACCACAAGAGGCAAACAAGTGCTATAAGTCTAAAAATGGTTTTGAATAAGAGGTCCATTTGTCATTTCGACACCGTGAGATAGACCTCATGCCATGGCCTACCTTGCAGGTTGACTCTGGAGACAGGAGGTTGGCTAGCAGCTGGGGACCTCCTGTGGAGACAGAGAAAAGAAGGACTGAGTGTGTTTCTTAACACTCCCCACCCCACTCCTGTATCCCACCCCACGGTTACTAAGGAGTTTTCCAGGTCAGAAGAAGCTATCAAGTGACGGAACGCTAACTCCGGAAGGCAAGCTCCTGTCACATGGGTAGATGGCTGCAATTCTCTCACATCCAGATGGCCTGGAATTTCCCTATGCACAGCTTCAGGATGCTTTAGCTCTCCAGGAAGGAAGTTGTTTACTCCAGGTCCCCAACCAGTTCCTCTGTTCTAGGTTTTACTGTTCCCAGAAGCCCTCAAAAGAGGAGACGCTTGCTCAGGCATCACTTTTAATGCCAGAGTGAGTCCCAGTTCCTTTGGGCAGTGCTGTAAGAAGTTACTACCCGAGGGACCCTCAGTGATCAATCAGTTCAGGCCCCCAATATCTTGCATCTCAGGAAACTGAGACCTAGAGTGGTGAAGTCATTTGCCAAAGGTCCCAGAGTCATAAGTAACAATAACCTAGCTTGCTTTACTTAGGGAGCCATCTTTCCAGGGAGGAACCGGGTGCCATTCTACATTATAACATGCCTGCTGGGGTCAGGAGTCAATGAAACAAGCAAACACACCCATGTTCTCCTAATACTGGGGCTCCTCCTTTTTCGTTGTTTCTTTTCCTTTCTCTGCCCCCTCACCCTCCCATTTTGCTGCTCTTATGTCCTTCTCATGCTTTGCAGAACTTTTGCCAGACTCTCTGGGGTTCTCTGTGCACTGCTGGAGGGCCCCTCAGGAACAGTATTGATCGGTGCCCTCAGACTCTAGAGTGCTTCAGAATCACCCGGAGGGCTTATTGAAACACGCGGCTAGGCCCTACCTCCAGAGTTTCTGGTTTAGTGGGCCTGGGTGGACTTGAGAGCTTGCCTTTCCAACAAGTTCCCAGGTGCCGCTGATGCTGCTGGTCTGGAAACCATGCTTTCAGAACAGCTACTACCTAGGACTCTCCGTCCCACTAAGGTGTGAGGATATTAGCATCCAGCCAAAGAGTGGGATTTAAGGTCCGTGGTTCTCTTATGTGGACGGACATCAGACTCATCTGGGTAGCTATTAAATTCCTTTCTCTGTCTCTGAAGAGTCTGTTTCAGTGTATCTGGGATCATCCCTGAGAATCTGTGTTGTTACTGCTCTGTGGATTTTCCAGGCATGGGAGAGTTTGAAAAAGAAGCCAAATTCTAAACGATAGAGAATGGCCTCCAGAGTTGCTGCTAAGGAATGGGAGCGTCTTCCTACCGGTATGGCCACAACATTATTTCCTTACTTTTTGTTATTGCTGTTTGTTTTTTGAGTTGGGGTCTCACTCTATCACCCAGACTGGAGTGCATGGGTACAATCACAGTTCACCACAGCCTTGTCTTCCTGGGTTCAGGTGATCCTCCTGCCTCAACCTCCTGAGTAACTAAGATGACAGGCATGCACCACCACCCCTTGCTAATTTCTAGATTTTTTGTAGAGACAAGTTCTCGCTATGTTGCCCAGGCTTGTCTCAAACTCCTGAGCTCAAGTAATCCTCCCCGCTCAGCCTTCCCAAGTGCAGGGATTGCAGGTGTGAACCTCCATGCCTGGCCTTCCCTGGATTTTTAAGAGCTCCAAACCAATCTCTGACCCCTCCTAAGGGCAATCAAGCTTCTAGGTAACCATACCTTGTAGAAGCAGGGTCTGTGGACAGGGTTTACATCTACCGCTAACTGGGTGATCCTAGACAAGGTACTTTTAAACTCTCTGTGGCATGAAATTTTCACAAGAGAAGGGAAATTATCGTCCCATAATTTCTTTTACCTGCTAGGCACAGTGCTAGATACTTCTTACTTCCATAGGGAGTAGTATTATCTCATCTTAAAGATATGAAAACTGAAACTCAGGGAGGTTAAGACACATATTGATGCACTCGTAGTTTGCAACTGTCATGGCTGGGATTCAGAGCTAAGTCTTTCTGAATCCAAAGTGCTTTCCCTTTCCACTATACCGTCTGCTGATAACACCTGCACCCGTACCGAGGACTGTTTTACAGGAAAATTAAGAGCTTAAATTCCAAACTCCTTAGCCTGGCATTCAAAGTCCTTTGCTCTCTGGCTTCAACATACTTTTCCAGCGTATCTGGGAATTCCTCCTCATCCGACATTTCATCTCAAGCCCCTGACTGGCTGTGCACTCTTATGTGTCTTGCACATGTTCTGCTCTGTTGAGTGTTTTTCTTCTCTTTCACACATCCCGTGACCATGGTTGGGCATCATCTCCTGCGAAGAGCCTTCCCTTCTTTGAGTGGCCCTCCCTGTGCTCCATAGTTTCCTGTCTTAGCCCATCATTGGCTCCTCCTCGGTTGCAATACCCATTCTCCTGTCTGTCTCGTTAACTCACCTGTGAGAGACTCAAGCACAGACTGAAACTTGTGCATCATCATAACCCTGGAATCTGACATAATAACTGGGGTGCTGAAGGTATTCCATACAGAGTCATTGGATTAACACAGTTTTAGTAATTTGATTTTGCATTTTCTCCCGTGTTTCCAAAGAAGGCTTCTGTGAAAGGAGACACTGAACTAGGAGACCCTACATATTGATTATGTTGACTTTTTCCATAGCATGGCTACTCGCAGCATCCAATTTGCTCAACAGTGTCTTGGAAATTACACATATTGCACAAATTCTTTTGTCCGAGAAGTTAATTTTTAAAATATGGCTTTTATTTTAGAGCTGTTAATTCAGATAAACATCTCTGTGTGTAAGCTTTGGAAAGGCAGGGACCATGTGTATTTGGTCTATCAATTATTCTTGAGACCTGGTGCAAAGAAGAGGTACAATACATTGTAAGTGAATGAGGAACTTTTAGAAACCACACGACTGCTGCAGGGTATAGAGTGCCAGTTAGAACACTGTGAGGAATGCCAGAGGAAAATGGCATTGGCTGCCCAGTTTCCAATGGTCCTTGACTTACGGAAGAATCCTAAGAAGTTGGATGACTGGCTGCTGAAAATAAAATGGCCACGGCAGTTAAGACTTTCCTGCCCTAAACAGCACAGTGGAGGAAGACTGGACTATAATTAAGAAGATAGGAATCCTTATCCGGGCGCTGGCTCCTTCTCACTGGACAACCCTGGGCGAATCACTGAACTTCTCAGTTTCTTTCTCACTTGGGGAGAGCCGGCAGCAACTCACATCGACTGGTGATTTACAATGTGCCAGGTCCTGTGTGAGGGGTTTTACACTTATTTCCTCACTTAATCGGAGGAAATTTGGCTGGGTTTCTTCCAGTTCTGAATGCTCAAGGTTTTATGATTCTCGGCTAATTTAAATCCCATGCCAAAGAGCATAAAGCAATGAAAGACACTTCAGGTATACACTGAAAACAAAATTAAGTGGTTATTAATTACTTCCCAAAGATTACATACATGTTGATTAAATTATGCTTCAGAAGAATGCTAATACAAAGATGTTACATGGTTTCCTGGCAGCCACCGGGGATACTGGTGATGCTGGTGACAGGGTTGAGTGATAAAAGAGGACAGCTCTTTGCTCCCAGCAACGTCCTCTGGTAATCAGGGTGCTGAATGGTGGGTGCACTCACTCCCACACCTGATTATTCCATCTGTCTCTTTGAAGCCAGCAAATGCTTTAAGAATGCTGATCTGAATTAACAACTCTACATGAAAGCCATATTTTCAAAATTAACTCCTGGGACAAAGGAAATGTAGGTTTTAATTTGCAGCCAAGAAATACAGGCCCGTTCAAGCCTCCCTCAATAGGACATTTTATGGAAGGGCAAGCCACCCCCACAGGAACCCTGAGATTTCCACACTTGGGTGGTAAGGCTCCAGCAGTAAAGCTCCAGACAATGGGGCTGCTTCTATGCAGAGCAAAGAGCCAAGAGATAAAAAGAATCTTGACTTATAAGAAGTATATTTCCATGTGGGAGTTCCTTTTTATATAATAAACTACACTATCCAGATATCTATGAAAACCACTCCAATGACATAATTATTACTTAAACATTACATTCAAGGCAGGGAGTGGCACCCAGGAAGCCAAATCGACTATCCTAGAAAGCACCTTTCGAGTTCCAAGAATCCTACAATTTTGGTTGTTAAGTGAATGTGTGTGTGGTGGGGGAGGGGTGCTCTTTGCAAGCCACATCCACTCCTGGCATTCTGGCCTCGGTTCCTTCTCTTGGATTTTCTTTAGTTGTTTGAGGGCATTGACTAGAAATACAATCGTGCACTAAATAGACCCTCAGTTTTCCATCCTGTCCCTGCTAGCCTGCTCCATGGATGGCTGTTTGATCTAATTGATTTCAGTTCCCTGATGGTTGAAAACAATCTGGGCTAGACTGAGGTAATGTCAATTCCCTTGGGTGAAGCTCTCTAGTGGAGCGTGTGCCCTGCATTACATGTTTGTTGGCTGCTGTTGATTACAAAATAAAACTTGAAATCAGTAATAAGATTTAAAATAGGAAACCAGTAATAACACTTAACTCTAAAAACACGTGCATGGATTTGAGAAAGATCATTAGATGCAACTATCTTACCACTGGAGACCTACTCAGTTTGCTAAGTCTGGTTTGCTTTGGACTAAAGGTGACACAAGGGGCCGTGATTTGAGGGCTGATCCTCGCCCAGAGTGTAAGAATGGGCTCTGGGTCAGTTCTGTGTATAGCAGTTATGGTCTTAGGGTACTTGGTTCTTGAAGGCTCACATGAACCCTAACCTTTAAGGGTTTAAAAAGACCTGGGTCAGCCGGGCTCGGTGGCTCAGCCTGTAATCCCGCGCCTTTGGGAGGCTGAGGTGAGTGGATTGCCTGAGCCCGCGGGTTCAAGACCCGCCTGGGCAGCGAGACCTCATCTCTACAATAAATCAAAAAATCAGCTGGGCGTGGTAGCGCATGCCTGTAATTCCGGCTACTCGGAAGGCTGAGGCGGAAGGATCGCCGGAGCCCAGCAGGTCGAGGCTGCGGTGGCCGGGAGCGGCCACTGCACTCCAGTCTGGGCGACAGAGTGAGATTCCAACTCAAAAAAATAAAAAAGAAACAAAAGAAATAAAAAGACCTGGGTCTTGAGAATGTTGTTTCACTGGCATAGCTTATTCATCAGCAGGGCTAGTCTAAATGCCCCATGCTACTAACAGAGGAGAAAACAATCTAAGCCCACGCCAACAGATAAGACTGAGAACACCATCCCTTCACTCCGCCTTCTCCTTAGAGCTGTGCAATGCGGCATTCTGAGTCCAGCTATGACAAAGTGACCTTTGAACGTGTCCTTATTAATCCCCTCGCCCCTATCATTCTGGGTCAGGGCTTCACCCACAACATTTTATTTATTTTTATCTTTTATTTTTTTGAGTTGAAATCTCACTTTGTTGCCCAGGCTGGAGTGCAGTAGCACACATGCTCACAGTCACCCAGCATTGACCTGCTGGGCCCAGGCAATCCTTCCACCTCAGTCTTCCAAGTAGCTGGAACTACAGGTGTGCGCTACCACACCTGGCTAATTTTTGATTTATTGTAGAGTCGAGGTCTCACCAAGTTGCCCAGGTGGGTCTCAAACCCGCGGGCTCAGGCAATCCACTTGCCTCGGCCTCCCAAAGTGCCGGGATGACAGGCTGAGCCACCGAGCCTGGCTAACCCATAACATTTTAATTCCTGAAAATCCTAGTTTAACTAGTATCTCTGTCTTCGGGCTTTCTGACCTTCATCTCTTCCATAAGTTATCCCTAAATGTCTTTCTGTTCCAAAGCCTTCCAGGAACTTCTCCCCATAACCCAGAGGATTTGGTGGTAGTGAATAAAAAGCACCCTGCAGTGGGTGTCAGGATGCCAGGCTTTGAGAACTGCTCTGTTGCTCACTAGAAGCAGCATGTTTTTGTGTAAGTCATTGACTCTCCCTAAGCTTTGTTTCCTTATCCAAGATGGAGAAGAGAGCTTGCAGAGAACAACAGCCCACGATTGCTGAACAGCATTCCTTGTGGCTAGAGGCCTGATCTGCTTATCCACCACTGTTACCTCCAGACACTTACTGTTAGAATGCAAGTCCTGAAAGGGCAGAGACCTTGTCTGTTTTGGTCACAACTGTGTCATCAGTGCCCAGAACAAAGTAAATATTTGCTAAATGCATACATATGTGCATGAAGGAATAGTATGTACTGAATAAATGCTTGCTGGATGAATTAATTAGTGAATAAATTAACAGGGAGTACCACTCCAAAAGAGGCTGGGCAAGCCTCTAGATTTCATGTACATTGCGCTAAACATGAACCCAGTCAACTTTCAATCACAATAACTTGAGCTGGGTCAAGGGGTGCTTTGGGGGTCAAGCACCAGAATTCAAACTTTATCTTGGTGATAACGGTGGACCCCAGAAATGCCTCAGGTTGGAAGGTGACACAGTCCAGCAGCATGTGAGAAGGTCACTCTGGGGGAGTCTGGAGGACAGATCAGAGGAGGAGAGGCCAGTGACAGGCAAGATCCCGTCGGGAGTGTACAGACTCATCTCACAAGGAGGCCTACTAACATGTACTAGGACAGGGAGAGGCAACGGAAGTATTCAGAGCAAGGCTGACTCCCACTTTCAACAAACCCACTCTGAAAATTTGATTGAAAGCAAAATAGAGGACTGATGAATAATCCCACAAGGGTTGGAGAGAGAGGGTATTTGGTAATGAACACTGGCTGAAAGATCGGGAGAGTAAGGTTTTTGCCCTGAGGTATCTCTAGTTTAGAGCATGAATGTTAGCAAGTCTCTGGATTCCTGACAGTTTGGGTTTCTTCTGTAAAACAACAAGGTCGAATCAAGGGTCTCCAAGACTTCCTCCAGCACCCCTCCATCCCAGGGTCATAGATTACATGGCTGTCTGAGCCCTGCAGTAATCTTTTAAAACATGCAGAAGAGTGAGCCACATAGCACTTAGATTAGGCTTAAAAGTTGAAATGATTTTGGAGAAAAAAGTTACTGCAAGGAATATCGAGTTCATACTTCATTTTACAGATAAGGAGATCAAGGGTCAGCAATGTTAATAGAATGACCAAGGTAACGTATTTAGTTGGGGGCAGAGGGGAAGATAATCCCACTCCTATTCATTAAACTGCATGAGCATGTTTCTATATTATCAAAATATAGGCAAGTTGAACTTGAACTCTTTGGTACCTTTAATTTTAAGTTTTGATATCTGAATTCATTAATAGTTTATTCAAAAAGACTTTTAATAGAATTTATGGCCATTGCTTATCAAAGTGGCAAATATATTTAGGTCAACCAAAAAAATTCTCATCTCATTTGTTCATTTGTGGAACTCCTACTGAGTACTAAGTGTTAAAGGTACAAAGATTAATAAGACTCAAACTAGTTAACTTTTAATATTTTACCAGTTCTAGAATATTATGACATTCCCTCCTATTTTCAAATTTTATTGTCCATCCTAACTTAGCTCAGAGGGCAAATTTCCTTGAAATAGTTGTGTGTGTGTGTGTGTGTGTGTGTGTGTGTGTGTGTGTTTAGTGCCGTTTCATGTTTTTTGCCTTTTGGAAGGGATTCATGACGTCACAAAAAGTCGATGCTTACTTGTTAGATGTTCCATGAAGGTTTGTCAGTACAGTGAAGTTGTTTCTCACACTTCGCAAGCTGGCAAGGACCTATAAGAAAAACGTTTCCTCTGGTTAGGGACAAAAGAAGACAAATGTCCAGGTTCAGAGACCACACTTAGAAACCACACCCAGGGACAGAGGGAGGGCAAGCCAGGGCCAGCAGGATACATACCTGGGCAAAAGGAGTTACAATCAAGTCATCTCCATGTCTGGCGAAAGAGAGAAAAGAGACATTTAGAAATGCATTGGAATTATAACTGTGACAGAGATCCTATAATATTAAACTTTATCAATGTCAGCTACGCAAATGGTATACAAGTCCTTCTACCTGGATATAAGGCAGGACTCACAATTTGGTAGGAATGGGGATCCCCAGAGCTTGAAAGGGAAAAAAAAGTACAGTACCACATTCATGACTCCTGGATGTACAGTGACTACACGTAAAGGCATTTGCAGTAAGCGTATACCTTCAGGGTCTATCCCTATTAAATAACAGACTCAGAGCACTGTAATTCAAAGCGACTTGTGGATGTTGGTTACCAGAGCCAGGAAATTCAAATGGAGGACCCACAGGGACACACACAGTTGGAAAAAGTGGCTGAACAGTCTGGATAAAGGTGAACTTTGGATTTCCTGGCTTTTGTTGATTTGAACCACAGCTTTAGTGCCATTTAAGTACAGACTTCTGTCTGGGAATCCCATTACTTTTTGTTTTTAATGTCACTTTTTTCTTAAAGTACCCAAGGATAAGCTTTTAATGGAACTGTGTGGCTGAACCTATTCTAAACCGTACTATTGTCACTCATTTTGTCCCAGAGACCTAGGTAGCACCTAGTGTTGTATAAATCTGAACTTAGAAAGAATCAAAACTGTGTTTTCAGAAGTGTACTCTCTCCCATCTGGCACAGACTTCAAGAAATCTATTTAAGCCTGTATTCAGCAAGTTCCTACTGGAGATACTAGAAGACATGTAGGACTGAGTGGCAGTCACAAAATCAGGTTGATTTGCTATGACAGCGTGAATCTAATGGTGCATTGATCTCCCCTCAGGGTCTGGTCTACTTTCCCTGTCTGTGTGATCCTCACACAAATATGGTGCTTTATCGGTTAACTGCACAAGGGCAATGAGTAATTGTTAAGCATTTTATGTATATTATCTTACTTAATTCTTGTAACAAGGCTGTGAGGCAGGTTCTCTAATATTTCTGTTTTGAAAATGACATGAAACTTCAGAGCAGTCAAACAACTCCTTAACTAGCGCATAGCTAGTAAGTGGAAGAAATGACTGATTCCAAATGGAAAAACTGAGACTGATTGATTCCAAAAATCTGTGCTTTTAAACACTGTGCTTCCTATTTTATGATGATGCTGCATAGTTGACACATCAAATTATGCAGACTCCAGGATCTCCCAAATTAAAACAGAGCAGGGGAGACAAAAAAGCATTTTAAAGACTGCAACAGACATTTTAAACACAGAATGAGGACAAACAATGGATACTTGATGAAGTCCAAAAGAGAGGTGATAATTACAGTTCAGAGAAAGTAGGCAAGGGTTGATCCAGTGAGTGAGTGGTGTTTGAGATAAGAAGCAGGCTTTAAAAATGCATGGTAGAGTCCACCAATGGGAGAAAAGGCAAGAACAAAGTCACTGAGATAGAAAGTAGGCTTTGAGCAGTAGCTCACGCCTGTAATCCTGAGGACCATTTGGGAGGCCAAGAAGGGAAGATCCTTTGAGGCCAGGAGTTAGAGACCAGCCTGGTCAACACAGTGAAACTCCCATCTCTACAACAAACAAACAAACACAAAAATTAGCTGGGCATGGTGGCATGCACCTGTAGTCCCAGCTGGGCATGGTGGCAAAGGTAGGGGGAAGGCTGGAAGCCAGAGGTTTGAGGCTGCAGCAAGCTATGATCACATCACTGCACTCCAGCCTGGTTCACACAGTGAAACCTCGTCTTCAAAAGAAAACAATAATAATAATAATAATAAATTTAAAAAATAAAAATATTGAACAAGCTCACTGAGATGCTTGGTGGCTGTCTGGGGGAACCTGAGCACATTAACCACAGACATTTGTAAAGGGTAGAAGGTCCGCCACACCCATATTAGGGGCAGTCTGGACAGAGATGATAGAGTGTTGGTGCTTAGCTCAGTAGGAAGAAATGAGCCAGTGAAGATTTTTAGTGAACATAAAAGTGTTTTAGAAAGTAAAATGCTATGGTCTCAGTGGGATGGGTTGGAGAGGGGACAGTACCAGAAGAATTGTCAGGGAGATGGTGCAGTCATTCAGAGAAGGAATAGGCAAGGCCAAGAAAAAGCAGAATGAGACCAGTTGAGGAGACCCTAGAGGGCTTACAGGACTCCACACTTACTTGAGTAAGGGGTCAAAAAGAAGTATTGTTTTCCATTTACAAAGCGAGTATCTGAGAAAACAGTGAAGTCACGAGTAGAAATAAGGAAGTGAGGGGGCGTTTGGGGAGTTTAAGGTGCTCCCTGAGTTTGTCAAGTAACTGTCGGGTTTTATGATACTCTTTGACATCCCAGTGGAGCCAAAAAGCAGAAGACTGAAATACAGGAATTCGAGGTACAGGTTTAGGCGTTCCCTACAACAGTTAGGATAGGTAAGGCTGTGCAGGGGATGACTTCCTGAGCCAGGCGAACATGTGGATGGGGAGCCAAGGAAGAATCTCTCCATTCCTGGAAAGAAGCCAAAGGGGAGACAGAATCATCAAGAGAGGAGCAGCTGAACTAAATGCAGCATGGTGAACTGTATCAAAAACTGCCCCATCCCAAGCTATTTTTTGGGATGAACTTTGAGATGGGTGAAAGATCTTATGGCTTGTTCTGATGTCTGACGTGAAGTTCACATTGTTTGTAAGACCTTGGGGTGAGTCAAGGATGAGATAACGGATTTGGAGTTGAGCAGAGCTCCCAGATTTCAGGAGTCTGATGAAAGCTAAATCTCACGCACAGGTGGTGCCTTAGCTGATGTATTACTGAACGAATCGGGAAGTTACTTAAACTGCACAAACTAAAGATTAGAGGGAGGTAAACCGACATTAACAAAGCACGTTGTCAACATGACTTTCTCATCATGGAACTCCTGAAGTTTAGGAGGAAAGAACATTCAGAAGCAAAAGATGAATTTGCGGATCCCCAAAACAGGCTTCCTTAAAGGATTAGAGCTGAAAAAGTTAATGCTGCCCGTTAGACAGCTGCTGTTAGAGAAATGATCAGATAATTTACAGAATGTATCAGGAAAGAAACAAAACAAAACTAAAAATCTCCCATTTGAGCATGGCCAGATTGTATATGGAACTATTCTGGATCTTTAAAAATTGCAATTTGATAAATGACTAATCAAAAATCAAATGACATGGGAAAACACAAAACATTTGATTGATTGTGAAAACAGACGCATTTCTTAATCTTCTGAACAGGTATTAAGAACCGTTGCCCAAGCATCATCTAGTGGCAAAACCAGCACATTACAGCTTCAAGGAATAATTGGCAATGGCCCCTCCAGTCCTAGGATGGAGTCTTAGAACCGAAGGCAAGTAGGTTCTAAACCCAAAATGATTTTCTAGAGAGAAGAATGCTGCTTTTCACGATGACCATCTGAATCTTACTAATTATTTTCGCCTTTCTCTGTTTCCTCAGCGCCCACAGAATTTTACACGAACTTTTCTTGGAACTGATTTCAGCCTTTCTTACAGAGAGAGGTATACGACAGTGGCAAAAAGCACAGATTTTTGAGCTAAACTGCACCGGTCTGTTTCTCAGCTGCATTATTACTGGCTATGAGACATTAGGCAGCCTGTCTATGTCTCTACTTCTTTGCCCATAAAACAGAGTTCTGTAACAATCAAATGAGTTATTGCATATGTGCAACTCTTTATAACAGTACTTGCCACAAAAAAGAACTTAAGTTGCTTAGTTACAGTTATTTTTCTTCATAATAGATATCTTTATTTTTATAAGGATAATCCCCAACTTAGGATGGTTCATCTTAAGATTTTTTGACTTCGCAGCAGTGCAAAAGCTGTGTGCATTCAGTAGAACCATACTTGAGAACCCACACAAGCATCTGCTTTTAACTTTCAGTACAGTATTCACTCAATCCCATGAGATATTCAATGCTTTGTTATAAAATGGGTTTTGTGTTAGATGATTTTGCCCAACCGTAGGCTAATGTAAGAGCTCTGAGCCCATAGGCTAGCCTCTGTCAGGATGTTTGGTAGTGTATTAAATGCATTTTTGACTTATCATATTTTCAACTTAAGATGAGCTTACCAGGTCACAATCTCCTCATAAGCATTAATAACTGAAGGGTTACATGTCTGTATTCCTAGCTTGTGAGAGTTTCTTTAAAAATATTCGTGTTTGTTCCTTGCTGCAATTAAGAAGACTCACATTTGCATTGTATTTATACTCTATAAAGCACTTTCATACACACTGCTTCGTGTGATGAGAGAATGCTCCTGATCCCAGGAAGTGGCGCCAGCCCCTATCTTGTTGACCAAGACTGCAACCTCCCTGTACCCCGACCCTACAATCAACCACCAACTTCTGTTGCTCCTAATTTATGTAGTAACTGTCCTCTGAAGCTGTTCTCATGTGGATCTCTCTCCTCAGTCACCTGGCTTACCATAGCAGCCTTCCATTTCGCTCTCGGGTCCTGGTTTTTCAGGCTTGTCCACTATCCAAATCATTCTTTCTACTGCAATCAGAGCTGGTTTTCAAGAACATATGTCAGTGACATGTTTTTCCGCTCAAGAGGTTTCTGCAGGTCCCACGGCTTGCCTGCAGGACACAGGCCCAGTCCTCAGCCCAGGCCCTCCACCACGCACCCCTGCTCCCTTCTCCTGCCTCATCTTTCACTGCTTCCCCATCTCACATTCTCTACCTTACCACGCTGAGCTGTGCTTCCCCGCAATGCTCCTTCACAACTGGGGAATCTGCATGTGGCCTCGCCTCCTGCCTGCCAAATCCTTGGCTGAACTGCAGCCTCCCCCAAGGGGGCCTCTCACCCTGCCTGGTCAGACTTCCCAGGCTTCTGCGTGCCTCTGCCATTGGCCTTCTCTGAAGCTGCTAGAACTTCCCGTCGACTTGCTAATTGTTGAGCACCTCTGAAGACACAGAAATTGTCTTATTTGTTAACGAAGTGCCTAAATTTTAGTAAATGTTTATTAAAAGAAAGAACGAATGCGATCCTTAGAACAGCTGGAAAAGTTGGCGGAGCAGAGATTACGACAATTATTTTTGTTTTTCAGGCTCATTCAGAGCCTGTTTAAGGATCGAATACTCATATGGTTAACCTCCTAGACGCCTTGGGTTCAAGTCTTGGCTCCCATGTGTCGGGAAAGTCACATAACCTCTCTGTGCCTCCATGTCCTTACCTTTAAGACAAGAAAATTATCTTACTTACCAAATGGGATGCAGAGATTAAATGGATTATATATGTAAAGTACTTTAAATAGTATATAGTATATAAAAATGCTCAGTAAATGTGTGTTTTTATTCACAGGTCATTTAAAGACAATGAGAGAGATTCAATGTCTTAAAAACCACAGTACTCATAGGTGTGATGACTGTAGGTCTAACTCTAGTCTTAAAAGCCACATTGTACTTCTTTGGTTGTTCATCAATAAACAGGTCTTATATTTAACTGCACTATTATTTCTGCTTTTTCTCTTGGTTCTTAGGTCTTATTTCCCTTGACTGCTCTCTTTAGAGACCACTTAGTCCTCACGCAAATGGCAGCTTTAAAAATCTCCTTGTCTCTGGAAAGGTTTGCAAATAGGATGATCAAATTAAAGAAAAACATATGGAGTCTCCTTCTCTGTGGTTTTGCAGGTGAATAATCAAAACTCCATCCTGTCTAGGATGGCTTCTTTCACAGTTTGGGGCAATAAAAGTGGCCTCACCAGTTTCCAGGACTTTATGTTCCCATGAGGAAATCCGTACCTCAGTATACGAAGCCATTACGTTAGAGAGGACTACAATACAGGAACTGAACAGAAAGCAACAGATTATTGCCACATCTAAGAAAACATCTGAAATTTTCTCCTGGGACCCAATGGTGATCTCATTTACTTTGCTAGAAAGGCTGACTTTGATTTCTCATTTGGTGCTAAAAGTTAAAGCCACTTTTAATTTCCCATTCATGGTTTATTCTCAATATCTTTTCACTCACTCCCCCCCAATTCCCTCTTACTTTTCTGAAAGAGTTCAGATAAGAAATATTTTAAAAAGTCAGGCTTTCCTCTAGCACAGTGGAATCAAGTTTTTCACCTTTTGTAAAAAAATTAATGACTGCTCCGAGCTGGGTATGAGGGTCTTCTGAGCAGGGAACATCCTGCAGGCCCCACCCAATGGCCTTCGCTTCAAAACTCCTGGTCCACCATCACCCTTCTTATTCTTCCTGGCTTTAGGAGTGGAGGCAAGGGAAGCAGTGGAAGCTTGGGGGCTGCCGTTCCTCTATTTTGGTTCAGCCTAAAGAGTAACAGTCGGGTGAAATCGCTTTAACGGTATGACTGTGGTTCAAATCCAGATACTGAATTTTCCAGCATGAACCCGATAAAATTAAATGCCAGAAGGACCTGAATATTATTCAAACTCTACTTCTTGTGTTGAGAAATACAAACTTCTAAATTGACAAATATATAAAAGTTTTTACTGTAATATTGTGGTATTTTCAAGACAAAATCTTGCACTATTTTTATTCACTCCAATATTTTAATATATCCTGTTATCAGTATGCTTGATGGGGTAATATTATGCTGCCAATTTTGTTTTCTTGGGAGCAGCTCTTTGACATGAAAGAATGACCCTTTCCTACTTTTTTTAAGTCCTTAACTTTAAAAAGTAAGAATGATACTAAATAATTTACTTATATAATTTTTACCTGCCTAAAATTAAGGTTGGCAACACTATGGGCTCTAGAGTTAGGGGGAAATTTTACTGGTCAGTAAAATTGAAAAGAGGGTAACACCACTAGCAAGAGGGACGCAGCTATTCAGAACTGTTTCAACAGCTATAGATGGAGTGGGACTGTCATCTGTAAGGTCTCTGCAAGTTCAAAATTTTCATAACTTTGGATTGTAAGGAAGCATCCGAGTTTGGACTTTGGTTAGAGTTTTCTGGGAAAACTTGTCATGCTGTTTGGCAAGCTTTTGGAGAACTGGGGAATTCATCTGGGGAATGACTGGCTTCCAGAGCTCGTCTTTTGCCTGTCAAATACTAAGTGAATAAAACTCAAGCTACTATGAGCTCACCACATGTCCTATGCTCTTGCAAGATTGAAGTGTAGAGAGGTTTTTATCTTGGTGAGAAATCCTAGTACTTGGACTGTCAGAGCCCCCCTGTTGAAACTTTTGTGAGCGACAGCCTGGGTTCACAAGATCCACAGCAAAGCGGTGACCTTTCCTCCTGCCTTGGCCACCTCTTCTGCAGTCATCTGTTTTCTACCTGGTAGTAGAGATGCTACATTGCAGTTTCAAGAACATGGCTGGAAAGGTTCCAGAAGTTTTGGATACGATCATCCTATATCATAGGAGACAGCATGAGATACAGACATGGGGTGGGGCAAGTGTCTCAATCTCTCAGTCACAGTTGCATCATCTAGAGAGGGGATAATAATGGTATCTACCCCACAGGGTTACTATGAAGATGAGCAGAGATAACATATGTAAATGAATCTGGCCCCTTTGTCTGTGCTCATTGCATGTTAGTTTCCTTCCATGCTGTGTGGTCCTCTTATCTTTCCCATTTAACTGCAACCTCCCTGAGAGCATGTAAACCTTAGAGATCCGTTTTTTTTTTTTAACTCATCTGTGATTTTTATACTGTTTGCTTTTCTTTTATCCCCAGAGACTAGCTCAATGCATGGCACGTAGGAGAGATTCAGTAAACATTTGCCAAATAGTTGAGAAAAAAGAATTTTGGCCCATATGAGTGAGATAACTTAGGACAGGGGCGCTTCTATTAAAATTTTCTCGCAGAAGTGTCCTGGGGAACATTTTCTTGCTGGTAGCTTTAAAATAGCTCCTACCCCTTTCATAAGAGGGTGAAGCTTTTTGGCTTTCTTTCGGATAGCGGAAGAGAACCCAGTGGAATTTTCTAGGCTAGAAACTTTAAGAAGATACTGATACTTTTATAACATATGATATTAAAAACAATTGTATGTGTGCCCAGAAACCTTTTAAGGCATGAATTCCAGCATCCAGTTTTATTTGGTTTCAGAAATTTAATAAACAGGCAACATAGCTCAGTCTTTGTTCTTTAAATAAAAATTAGAGGTTTACAATTAATAGTAGCAAAACAAAATATCAGCTGTGCTCAATAGGGTGGTGGAGTGTGCTGTGTCATACCAAGGAGCCAGGCCACAAGTGGGCATTGTGTTAAGGTTCCAGAGAGGGGACAGAGGCATGTGGCTGGATGACAGCTTATTCAACGTCACCAAGTAAAGGCTACCAAGAGAGGACATGTGTAACCAACCACCAGTTTTCTTCTCTGCTGGAACCTCATGCGAATTGCACATGAGGCTGAAAATTCAAGTGTGATTTGTAAAAAATGTAAGGTTCTCATCCTGCAAACGATTTAGCAATTCAGGAAATGAAGTTAATAAAAAAAAATTTTTTTTAAGTCTCAGTACTAGATGTACTGAACACTATGCTTAAGACACCCTTGGAGACCCCAACTACAGAAAGCGTTGATGCCCTTAAGATGGTCATCGTCGTCACCTCTGTTCATGTTGTGTTTTCTCCCCTGTCCTTCCCACGGGTGAAGGGGCACAGTTGTTGCTGCCGCTGAGACAGGGTGAGGGATGAGGTAAGTGTGAGACAGAAACCAGACAGAGCTTGTACTTACTGCTCACTGGGAAGCGAAGAGTTTCTTGACATCGCCTTTGGTGACAAGTCATAGTCACTGTCTGATCTGTAGAGAAATGACTCTCTGCGCTGGCTGTGCCCGGGAAAGGTGGCGTGAAGCACCAGTCCGGAAGAGGAGCTGGCCTGGGGGTCCAGTGGGCTCCGGCCTGGGGAAGGGCCATTTTCCACATCAAAGCTTAAAGAGAAAGCAGGAAACCCAGGTCATGAGAGAACCATGCGGGTGGACATGTAGCATGCACGGAGAACCAATGTGTACAGGTACTGTGTGACAGGCGCTGCACACAAAACTCTGTGCCTTGTGAAAAGATTTAATCCTCAAAGAAGCTCTGAGTTGCAGTCAGTTATCAGCTGCAGTCATTATTATTTCCACTTTGGATGTAGGAATCCGAGTCCCATAGAAGTTCAGCCATTTACTCCAGTAATCAGCAAATAATGGTGTCAGAATTTGAACCCAGAAGCAAACTCTATGGCCTTTCAGAGATATGAGCAACTTAGACAAGTTCAGAACAAGAGCCAAGCATAAAACACTTAGGTGATAAGAAGCAGCTCTAGAGGGAGCATCTAACATAGCCCTAGGTGTCAGACACCGAACTCTCACTTGAGCAGTCATCCTAGCTGGAAGACTTCTTCCTGCCACAAATATCACAGTCTCATTAAAAATACAACATGCACATTTCTAAATGCCCCAGGAACAAAGTGTTCTGAAAACCATCACTGGGTGATGAGATGGTGGCCCAGCCTGAGACTGAACACTCATAGGCAAGTTCGACCACAGAAAATGACTTAATGAATCTGATCACCCGGAATGACTCTCCAGCTGCAGAGTTTTGTGTCTAGGGGAAAAGGCACTCACGGCTCCCCCCAGAGTGCCAGTAAGGTTTCCCATCTGCCTCACTCCCTCCGGGAAGGTGCCCTCAAGCCCAGAATTACTTGAAGGAGCTCTGTTCGATGAACACATGGGAGTGGTAGAGATGGTGTCTCCTGTTTTCTCTCCCCCATCCTGATATTACTCTGGGCACGGTGGCCTTTGCACCCTCTCCTTTATCGTTCCACATGCATGTTTCCTGCACCCACGACCTCCCTCAGTCTTACAGTGACAGCCCTCCTCTTCTCACGTGTTTCTCTAGGACACACACCGCTTCCCAGCTGAAGCTTTGCAGAGACACGTGGTGAAGAGGATAAGGAGCTGAAGATGCTTTTTACCAGGTTAGACCCCAGCAATGAGCCTCATGTGCAGTTCGCATGAGGCTCCAGTAGCCTCCCAAAGTGCCCAGCCTACAAAGCGCTTTTTGATACATTATTCAATTTTCTCCCAATGATCCTAAGAAATGTAAAATACGATCTCATCGTACAGCTGAGGTAAGTGAGGCTTAGAGAGATGTAAATACCTTGCTCAAAATCACAGACTAGTAACTCATAGAGCAAGAACTGGAAGACCCTAGTCTGGGCATGGGGGCAATCTCCCCCACCTACTGGCCTGTTTGCCTGCCGTAGAGCTATGTTGTGAGTCACATGCATTGCGGCAAGTCGAAATCTAATGAAGCTGACTTGCAGACTTCCTTTGGGTGAGATCTGTGCCAGCTGTTGGACAAAAGGAAGAGCCCCTTTGTGGACAAGTGCTCTCCTGAGACACCAAATCCTTTAGGACCAGTAGGTCCTGGTGCTGGCTCCGAATCTTTCTTACGGGTAAAAAAGGTGGATTCTTCAAAGGTGAAGGTAGCATTGCACAGAGCCTAGCAGTGGGCACGAGCTTAGAAATGTCATGTGTATTTATGTTGTTGTTTATCTGGCATGTATCCATATAGCCTTTCTGGATATTGGAACATTGAAACACTTTTTTTTTTTAACAGTGGGCATCCAGCCTCTGCCCCAGGCCGTCTAGAACTGGCTAAACTTCCCAGAGATCTAGTAACTAAAGAGTTGGTGTCTGGAAGCATCATGGCCTGTGTCCATTTAATTGGTCAGTGCTAGGCAGTACTAGGCACTGAATACTATTGGTATCACTTCTGTGTGCATCTATGCTAAAATCTTAGAAGAGGTGCCAAGTGGGCGGGCTCACCAAATTCTCAGAACGTTTTGCATTGAGGGTTTCCACCAAGGCTCACCCTGCCCTCTTTTTGGCTAAAGGCATTCCTGATGGGCAATGGGTGAGTTCACAAAGCATTACTCCTAGAGCTAGCATCACCGGCATTCTGTCGCTAGTATTAGTATCCAGGAAGCTCCCTCCTTCCAGGTAAGCTGGGACTAGACCCTGATTGCCAAACTCTCTCCATGTTGCCCCTCATTGATTTTTGTTTTCTTTCTTCCTTACCCTGCTAGGAGAACTTGCTGGAATTTAGAAGGAGGCGGAGAAGAAGCCTCTGGTGCAAAGAAGCAGCCTTAGTGAGACAAATGGCCTTTCATATTCCCTGGGGCACTGTTTCGAAGCAACGAACACAGATGTACAACTTTGGAACAAACATGAATCACCAACCAGACACCAGCCCCAGTCACAGCAAAATTAGCGAGCAGACATCACAACACGTCCCACAGATCCAGGGAGCGAGGGGGAGGGGGGTATGTGGGCAAGGGAAAGACTGGGGACAGACTTAACAGGCAGGATGAATGTGCCACACACACAGAAGCACAATCAGGAGGGAAACAGAATCTGCAGTACCAGAAACAAACACACACACGGTCATTATTTTCTAGGGTGATTTTTGCCTGTGCTTTTATCAGGACACACATTTCACTTTTAAGCTTCTGTATATTTTAAAACCATCACAAAAGCAATATGAGGATGTTATACAAAGCATAGATAGTAGAGAAAAGATAGAGAAAAGAACAACAGTATGACTAGCAGTTAAGTATTTTTCCTTGCGAATATTTTTGTTTTTCTGCAGGTTTGAATCTTGGTTTTTTTTCACAAGTGTTTGTCCTGTGCTGCGGGTTTCAGAATTATCATTTTCCCTGGCCTCACTGGCCCATTCGATGGCGGTCCCATAATTTACTTAAGCATTTTTCCTCTCCTGAACCTTATATGTATGATTCCAAGTAATGTCGCAGTTGATATCTTTGAGCTTATAGCTACTTCAGCAATTAGATGAGGTTGCACGGATATTTCAGACAGTTTAAGACAAGTGTGACTCACAAGGTTTTGAGTATTTGATTGTGACTTACACCTGCTTGGAAGACTCTGCCCTTATTCAACTGACTGAAAGTGGCCTTTTCCCTAGGATCAGAGGTTCCTTTCCATTCTGCTCTCTGGTGTCCAGGGTTCTGTGTCTGCCTGCTTCTCCCTGCCTCTGCTGATTTCTCTGGACTGAATCAATGACTTGTGTGATGTCTACCGTTTTAACAACTTTCTCCCGGTTTGTATCTGGCATCCCCAGATCTTATGGCAGTGACGGTAGGTGATGTGTGTGTAAGAAGCAGTGCTCCCTGGAGCTGGAATGCCCTTCCCACCCGATCTCCAATGAGCCGCTGTCTCCAAACTCCGCCCTGTCCCCTACTCCAGCATGTCCTCTCACCCGCTGCAGTTCCAGCTTGATGTTCACACACGTTCCTGCTCTGTGGCCCTTGGACTCCCTAGTCACCATGCTCTGTCACAGCGCCCGCACCTCCCTGTTTAAGTCTCCATGGGTCTAGCTGCTCCCCAATAGATTGTTATCTCCAAGAGAGAAGGGACTCAGCATTACTCATTTTGTATTTCAGGCATCTGGGTCAGAATCCCGTAAATAGCTCGAGCCTGCTAAAGAATACTGAAACTTGCTGTGAACTGTTTCTCCCATCCCTTCCCTATTTCTGACACCCTCACTCCTACCTTAATTCTTACTGGCATGGCTTTCTGTTGATTCCTTTACATGAACCCATAGTGGTGTGGCGTTCACATATTTGATCGGCCTTGCCAGGCAAGGATCTAAAAATAAAATAAGATAAATTCTTTAAAAAGCACTGCTGGGTCCTCCCTAAGCAAAACAAACCTGCATCCCTAGCTCTGCTGCTTGAAATGGCCACATCTTAACACAGCCAACCTGGAGGAAAAGCCCTCGGACACCAGCTTCTCATCTCTTTGTTTTTCAGTAAAAGCAGGGACCTTCTCTGCCCCATACTTTCTCTCCGGGCAGTTTCCCTTCCCTGGGAATCCTTGCAAAACCAGTCCATGGCTGGTGACGGTGACGGGAGGGGCCAGCAGATGGCAGAAGATGGCCACCCGTCTTCAGCTACAGGCCCCATTTCCAAGCCCGGCAGGCGGGGCTGCTTGGCCGTCTCGGAGCGAGAAAGATGACGGAAGCCTTACTTGTCAGCCTGGGAGGAAAAATCAGGGATAAAGGGCAGAACCACAAGGTGCACAAGAAACCTTTGATTAAACCAAAAGAAGCTCTGCTTCCAAGAATCCAAGTTAAGCCAGGTGGTTGCAGAATTGCCTGCAATTGTCCCCAGGGTGGTTGTTTCCTGATCCCCCAATTACCTGCGCAAACTCCAATTTCTGTAACAAAGACCCATGAAGCAACCGCCCAGGAGCAATTCCTTGCTGAGCCAGGGAGTGTTTTTCATTCTTGGCTCAAGCCTTCTCTAGATGTACCTCCTTGGCGTATTCTAACAAATAAGGACCCACAGAAAAGACCCCAAGCTCCACAAAAGGGGTTTAAATTCACAGGTCAGCAGAGTGGCTCGCTGCTATTTGGAGACTACGGTTTCAATGTTGCTTTTCTTTCTTAAACATTACTCTTCTACATTACTGAATTATCACAACCGTGGCAGGCTAATTCTCTCTGCCCCTTTTCAAAGAGGAGAAAACGGGGGCCCCACAACATACAACTTCATTTGAAAAGCTCTAAAGTGTGACCTCTTTTCATCACACCTGCTCTCTGTGGCCTTGGTCCTCCCCTCCCTGTCCCCGCAGACCACTTCCTGGTCCCAGAACCTGCCATGCTCCACTGTCTTTCTCAGTTTACTTCTCTGTCCTCCTCCACCAGACTGGAGCCTCCTAGAAGCAGGAACCAAGACTAAACTCAGTTTTGTCCTCCTCCACCAGACTGGGGGCTCCTAGAAGCAGGAATCAAGACTAAACTCAGTTTTGGACTCTCAGGGCCTGGAGCTGGTCTCATACCAGAAGGCACGTGACAAATGTTTGTTGAATAAACACAAGTACTTCACAGTGTATATCTCTCATTTGAGAAACAAGCCAGTTCC